TCTTCCGATCTCCCCAAAACCCCAAAACCCCGTGATGAAAAATTTTACAAAAAGTTAGTGAAATAAATTGATTGAAAATAGAAGGGATGCAAGTAAATTTGTAAAATATAATATATTTTTGATGTCAAATAAATCAGACAAGAAAGATAATAGTAACACCAATTAGTCTCAGCCCTCAGCTGCTCCTACAGTGAAAAACGTTAGAATGAGGGAAGATACTATTCCAGTAATTGTTGTCAATGGAGTCTACTACCCATCACAAAAATTAAGGTTCAAGTTGAATGATCCTTAGCTTAGCTTTTGTAAGTAATCAATCAGTAGCATCAATTTAAAATCATATAATAATCCATATTTATACTCTATGTAGAAAGTTTCAGTGAGAAGTCATTCGGTATTGTTAGCAAAAAAAGCGACACTGATGACTCCTATTACATGATGGGTACATTAGTAAAAGTTATAGACCAAGAGACTTTTCTGACTAACTTATTTGCAAGAAATTACGTGGAGTTTCTGGTCGAGGGACTTTCTAGATTCAAGATATAGAAGGTACTTTCGTCACAACCCTCTCAACTGCTTCTCACTTGCGACGTCATCATCTACGAAGAAGAAAATTCTGGTAAGTTACTCTTACTAAATGCTTTATTCATGTAATAGAAATGGACCTTGCAATGAGAGACAATGATAAGACCAAGTTATTGAAGTAAAAAGCAATTGAATTATGCGAGTTACCAAGAACTGGCCTCTCATCAACACTTAATGCTAAAAAGAAAGCTATGGAGATAAGATACATCATGTCCCCGTCAAGGCTATCATTCATGTCCTGCTCTCTTCTTAACAACCAAACAAGGATGATGAAATAAAGTTTGCTTGAGACCGATGAGCTTGATAAGAGAATGCAAAAAGTCATTGATTTACTAACTTAGGAGATAGATGTATGCTTATTAAATATATTCAATTTAGCATAACATAATTCTCTAATTTAGGAAATTAAGAAGTCTAATTCAGAGTTTGAGAAGTAGAACACAGGAATCGTTCTACCTAGATAACCTCCCAAGAATTTTCAATTCAATAATGATTTCATGAGAGGTGGTGGAAAGGATGGAAATGATGAAATCTAGAATCTTGTGAAGAAGTTTGAATAGTTAAAACTACCAGAAGAAGCTAAGAAAATAGTAGATTAGGAGTTGAGCAAAGTACAAAGACTTAGCCCGTCCAATTAGGAATATCACGTGAGCATCAATTATCTGCAAACAATCTCAGATTTGCCTTGGAGCATATCAGATCCAGAGTAGAATAATCCAGATCATGCAAAAGATATTCTAGAGAGAGATCATTTTGGCTTGGATGCAGTAAAAAAACGTATTATCCAATTCCTAGCTGTGAGAAAACTCAGAAGTAACAATCAAGGTACCATCCTTTGTTTCTTTGGCCCACCAGGAGTAGGTAAAACTTCACTCGGGAAATCAATAGCTGAGGCCCTAGGGAGAAAATTCTACAGAATTGCTTTAGGTGGTGTTAGAGATGAGGCTGAGATTAGAGGCCACAGAAGAACCTATGTGGGTGCCTTACCAGGAGTGATTATTTAAAGCTTAAAGAAGATCAAGACAAATAACCCAGTATTCTTGCTGGACGAAATAGACAAATTGGGGAGAGACTAAAGAGGAGATCCTTCAAGTGCCATGCTTGAAGTACTTGACCCCAATCAAAACGATAAATTCACTGATCATTTCTTGGGCACACCATTTGATCTCTCTAATGTTGTGTTTATAGCAACTGCTAACTCTCTTGATACTATTCACCCAGCTTTGCTTGATAGAATGGAGATCATAGATATTACTGGTTATTCTATTTAGGAGAAAATGGAAATATCAAAGCGATATTTGATTCCAAAGCAAATCAAAGAAAATGGTATTACAGAAAAGATAATTGAGTTCAAAGAAAAGGAGATTGAAAAGATTATAACATCATTCACAATGGAAAGCGGAGTTAGAAATTTAGATGTAATTACTTTAATTAATTAATCATTAATAGAGAGCAATAGGATCAGTTTGTAGATAAATTGCATACTAGTATGCAGTTTCAAAGTCACCAGAAACTTTCTAGAAAGTTATGGTTACAGACGAAGTTATCAAAGAAGCTCTAGGCAATGAAAAGTATGATTTTAACATGGAGGAAAGAATTACAAGACCTGGTATTGCTATTGTACGTATTTCATTCGATATATAACATTAATAGGGACTAGCTTACACAGAAGTTGGAGGGCGTGCCTTGTTAATTGAGACAACGAAGTACCCAGGCACTGGCTAGCTGAACTTAACTGGTAAACTTGGAGATGTAATGAAGGAGTCTGTGAACACAGCTTTGAGTTGGATTAAGACAAACGCTGGAAGAGTAGGTGTCTATAAGTCCTTGAAAAAGTTGAGTGTTGATGTTGCAGATGACCCTCATCAGTAGGTCAAGGATGATAGAAATGCTGAATCCATCTTTAAGCAGTTTGACTTGCATGTGCATTTCCCTGCAGCTGCAGTACCAAAAGACGGTCCAAGTGCTGGTGTTACAATCACCACTGCTCTTGTGTCATTGCTCACGAACAGAAGAGTCAAGAGTGATTTTGCAATGACTGGAGAAATATCGCTTCAAGGTTTAGTACTTCCAGTTGGTGGCATCAAGGAGAAGTGCATAGCTGCTCATAGAAATGGGGTCAAGAATGTAATATTACCACTGAAGAACAAAAAAGATGTTGATGAGATACCTAAAGATGTTAGACAATAGTTAAAAATACATTTTGCTTCGAGAGTTGAGGAGGTACTAGAGTTGGCTTTAGAGAAATCAATAGATTAAAAGTTTCTCAAAGAGGAAACATAATCTATTTTCAATAATAAGCCAAAGCTCTGAAGAATTAAATACATCAAGTATTAACAATTTAAACATAATTTTATTTTCAGAAAGAAAACTAGTAAATTTAAATAAATTTTCATCCACGGGGTTTTGGGGTTTTGGGGTTTTGGGG